TCTGGAGTATGAGAGAGGAAGGGGATCTTCCTCCCATCTTCTGGCTCCGCCGGCTCCGCCCACTGCCTCTCCCCCACCCTGACCTGCCCCACAGCAGACACCACCCCCTTCATCACTCCCTGACATACTTTTACAGGATCACAACTGCCTTGGAGCAGAACCACAATGTGAGACAAGACCCTCAGACTTTGGTCTCAGCCATGGTTACGAGAAAATGTGGGGGCACAACTGGGCACCGTGGCCCCTCCCAGGGGCATCCCAGCTCCTGACCGGCTTCCCTGCATGCCTCTGCCCACCTCTGGACCTTCTCCTCTTCTCTCCAGCTGCAGGCCCCAAACCTCCAGACTCCACACTGCCAAGGGACTGTGTTCAAATTGTCACTTTATTTTGCAATGCAAATTAATTCTCTTTCTCGTCATTCTTGCCCATCTAAATAGAAGAAGCAAACCTGTCATCACATTGAATCCCTAAAAGCCTTGAAATGGTTTTTTTTTCCTCTATCCCAGGCCAGCTCAAGTTCTTAGGTGGCCCTTTTCCCGCCTGTCTTCAGAGTCCATCACTTGCTCAGACCAAGTGGATGGAGCAACTTTTCCTCTTTCAGATGCACGAGCCTGTTTGAATGGACAGGAGAGACCCAGCATTTTCTCTTGCTGGCCCTGGGCTGTGGGCTGACTGTCTTGTGAGTCACTTTGTCTGGGGGAGTCTCGGCTTCTCTCTGGCCCCTGACAGGGCAGCCTCGCTCCAGCACCCAGCTGGAGTTTGCAGCTCAGAAGACAGGAGAGGGATTCCAAAGTCTGGGCACTTAACCTCCCCCACCCACAAAGGAAAAGTGACTTGGAGTTCATTCCCCACCCCCACCCCATCACAAACAAGTTTTCTTGTGTGGGGGTGTTAGTAAGGCGGGGGCAGAGAAGATAGTAGTGTGAATGCTTTAAAGAAACTTATAATAATTTTAATCAGCATTTTTCCTTCCATTTAAAATCACAAACTTAGCTACTTAATCAAATGTCATGCTTAAGACACATTTACCTCCTTGGGAGAAAAATGAACAATGGCAGTTCAATTTGGCTTTGGATGGGTTTTAAAAATAGTCGACTCTGTGAAGGCCATTAGGTAAATGGCCTAAGAGAGCTTCAGAAAGGACCACCTGCAGGGGGTCAGCAGACTCCTTGGTTGGGAAAATAGGGCAGGGCAGAGGCGAGAGGCCTCAGAGAGACCAGTGTGCTGCACGCTGATTCTAGAGTTTCAGGGTGCGGCTTGCTCCTGACTGGGGGGTGGCAACCAGAAGTGGGGAGGGGCCTGGGAGAGATTTCTATAGAGGCTACCTCTGAAAACTTCCCTTTTGCACTTGCTGAAGCTGGGAGGCCTGTGTGTGTGAGTGTGTGTGTGTGTGAGTGTGTGTGTGTGTGTGTGTGTGTGTGTGACAGTCCATGTGTTGGGATGACATCCGCCCACCCTCCCAATTCCCAAGAGAGGAGGCAAATGAAAAGGTCAGAAATGTGAGATGGCCTCAAAGTACAGGAAATCAATTACATTAATGGTGAAATAGAAGTCCTGGTTTTATTATTTTACAGCATGTAAAAAACGACAATGTTTTCATCAAGAGAAAAATATAAAAACAAACAGAATACCAGGTGGGTGCTTTCTCCGGAGGGAGCTGTGCTGTAGTTATCAGCACCCAGAGGAAAAAGGGAACTCTAGTGTGCCCTAGTCCTTACTGATGCGCTCCGGTCTGGGCGGGACGGAGGGCAGGCCCCCGCCCCCAGAGATGACAGAGGCCTGTACTCACTTGGTGAACAACTACTGTGTTTTTCAGACTCTGACCTCTCCTGTTACTTCTGCCAGCTTACTCCCTTGCTGCTTCCAGGACACACTCCTTTCTAGCCTAGCCAGGGGCTCATACCTGGGGTCCAGGGACCCCCAGGGTATGTGGGTAGAACCCAAGGCGTCTTTATACATGGGTGGGGAAAAATGATATGTTTCTTCTTGCAAATTCCAACTGAAATCCAGCATTTCCTTCCATCACAAGTGTAGGCAACAGGCCCCAGGGGCACGAAGCCCCTGTGACCTGCTCTCAAACCCGGAACCTGCAGGTACCCCCCCCATCACGGGACCGACATTTCAGCTGTCTCAAAATACCATTGCTGCATATCTTCACTTCTAAATGGCGCTATGTTTTAGATCCACCCACTCATTACTTGACATAACATTAAAGAACAAACATTGCTATTTCAAAAATTGGTTTTAATAGTTTGATGATGCATTGCAATATAAGTGACTCCCTAATAACTCTTCCTAGTGCCCTTTAGCGTATGCATTTATAAACGTTATGAGACAAGGTCCCCACTTTGCACACAGTTGCTGAAGGGGTCCCTAGAACCGAGGGGATCAGGAAGTCCCCCCACACCCCAACCCCACCTGGCCAGGGGCCTACTAGAGGGTTGTTCTGGCTCCTGAAAGGGCCTCCCTCCTGCAGCACCCCCACTTTGTCCCGCTAGGTGGCAGCACAGTGCGCACCCCCTTCTCCCGACTATCCTGGGCCCAGCCTGTTGTTCCAGTACCTCCTGGTCCCCCCCCCCCGGCCCCCCGTGGTGGACTCTGTTCCGCCAAACTCCACAGGGAGTAGGCTCCGGGGCGGGGGGGGGGCCATCATCCAGGAAGGGCCAGGCAGGCAAAGTGCTGACTCAGCCTGGTGCTTCTTTGAACCCTAATAGTGACGCTGTGCGTGAGGCCAGCTCATTTACTCCCCACAAAAATGAAACCCATTTTACAGAGAAGGAAACAGGGTCAGAGAAGTTAGATCAGGCACCCAGGCCCCCTCAGGCAGTAAACAGCACAGGATCGTCGGCTCGCGGCAGACCTTGGGTTCTTGCCACCATGCTTCCTCGCCTCCTGTCTTTGCCCTCTTCCTGGGGAGGCAGGTCACCCGCACCTGCTGTCTGGGTGGAGTAGACCCCTATGGCTCTCAAAGACCCGAAGCCCAGGGATGAAGGGCCTGCCTGGGAGTCCAAGTCCCAGCCACGCAGGGCCTGGATCCGCCCCACCACAAACTGCCCCTTCTCAGGGAGGCCTGACCAGCCAAGTGGGGTCTTCGTGCTGACCTCACAAGACTGGGGTGATTCCAGTGCTTGGCTAAGGGAGGCCGCTGCATGGGTCAGATCTGGCGTTAGTTAACTTTCCTTCCAATCCTGGGCCCGATTCCGAGCTTGCCACAGAAGAGCTGCGCCAGGTGATCCCCAAGGCCTGCGATTGTTTAGCGCCCTCGAGGGCACCGAGTGGACAGCCGGGCCTTTGCGGGCTTTTTCCCTGGTGGGCAGAGCGGTTCGCTGTAGGTCACTTCTTTCAGAGAGAGGCCGGCTTGGAGGGCCCTTCCTCCTCCAGCCACTGTCCTGCAAATACAGCCTCACCCGGAAGGCAAGGGGAAGTGTTGGCATGGGAATCGGCTGTGGCGGGAGTCTGGAAGGCCGAGGACTCGGAACTCAGCGACTCCTCGGGAGCGGGGGCCCGGCCGGGCAGCGGCTGCTGCCTGACGCTCAACCCTGGGGGCTGTGGGAGCCTGGACGTTCAGGTCCGGGCTGGGTTGGGGCAGAAGGTGCTAAGCTCTGACCTGGGACGCCGGGGCTTCTTCCGCCAGGGCCCCAGGCGGGGGGCCGGGCAGGCGCGAAAAGAGGGACCCCTAGAAGCGGACCCTCCGGCTTCCCAGACTCTGGCGGCGCCTCTGGTGCAGCTCCGCCTGGAGGAAACTTTCTGCGCAGCCTCTCGCTCCGGGCGCCCCCCACCAGTGCTCCCTCGGGAACGCCCCCTCCCCAAATTAGCGCTTCAGGTCCACCCCGCGCACCCGTAAATGGGTCGGAACCTCGAACTGCTTCGCAGGCCATCCGGTTACCGTGGCAACACCATCCGGCGGCGCCCGGCGGTCCAATCCGAGCCCGCGGCCTCTCTCGAGCCTTTCCCAAGGTGGGGACTGGGACGAGGCCGGGGGTGGGGAAGGGGCGGCCGGGGACCATTCCTGATGTGTCGCCGGGGCCGGGCACAGCCCCGCGCGGTGAGGCAGGGCAGAGAGCGGCAGCCGGCGCCGGGCAGGGGGCTCGGGCTCCAGTTCGAGGGGCGGGGAAGGCGGGTGACGTGAGCCGGGCCGGGCGGGCGGGCGGAGTTGGGACCCGCTCGGGGAGGCGGGGGCGAGCGCGCGGAGAGGCAGACGCGCGGAGGGAGGCGGCCGAGCGGCGCGGGCGGCTCTGCGGCGGGCGCGGTGGGCGCGGGCGGCGGGGCCCCGGGATCCCCGCGCGCCTCCTCGGCGCGGCGCCGCCGCCGCGCGTCCCCACGCCCCGCGCTCCACGGCGCCCTCGCCCCGCGCGCCTCCCGCGCCCGCCTCCTGCCGGCCTCCGGCGCCGCGGCCGTCTGCAGAGCGAGCGCTCAGACGGAGCCCCCGGCCAACTTGAGCGGTGCCGGCCGGCGGCGCACCCCCGGCAGAGCCCCCTGACCTGGCGGCGCGCGGAGGCGACCCTCGTCCTTCCGCGTCGCCGCCGCCCGCACCCCCGGACCGCGCCGCCCCCTCGGCGCGGGGCTCGGACCGGAGGCGAGAGCCGCGCCACGAGACACGCACCGTGCGCGGCGGCGCCGCCCGGCCTCCCTCCCCACCGCCCCGGAGGGCGAAGCCGCGTCTCCTCCGACTCTCACCGCACGGCCGCAGCGCCGGAGCGCGCCCCTCCCGGGCCGGCCGTGGGCGCTCCCGCCTCGCTGCCGCCTTCGCTGGCTCGCCCCCGGAGGGGCGACGAGCCCCGCGCCCCGGCCGGAGGATGTGCGCCCCCGCGGGCCGCCCCGCCTGAGCCATGCGCCCCAACGGCGGCGGCGCGCCGGCCGGCATGGAGCCCCGCGCGGCCGCGCTCTGACTCGCTCAGCGCCCCGCGGCCGGCGGGCGGCGGGCGGCGGCGGACCGAGAGCCAGAGACCGGCGCCGCGGGACGGAAGCGAGCGGGCGCGGGCGCCGCGCAGATGGCCGGGGCGAGCAAGGTCTGAGGCTCCGCTCCCCGAAACGTGACCATGTGGATTCAACAGCTTTTAGGACTCAGGTGAGCGACCCGGCCAGCGCCGGTGTGCGTGTGGGTGCGTGGGTGCGTGGGTGCCGGGCTGGGCTGAAGCGGCGCTCTCCTCAACGTTGCAAATAAAGGGACCCCTCCCCGCTCCCCGCTAGCTGCCAGAAGGGGCCCCGGGAGCTCGGAGCTCCGCGGCCCCGCAGGGAGCGGCCGGCTCTCCCGGGCTGCGCGCGTCTGGGTCGGGCCAGCGGCGCCCGCCCCAGCTCCCCGTGCAGCGGGGCTGGCCGGGCAAGCCCGCGGCTCCCGGCACCAGCAGCGCTGTGTCCTGGCCTGCCGCCTCGGCAAGCCTTCTCCCCGGCTCCCGGCTCCCGGCTCCCGGCTCCCGGCGAGAGCTTAGAAGGCGGAGTTGGAGGAAACCAAAATCAAACAGCCACTCCGCCCTCCCTTCCCCTTCCTCGGGGCCCCAGGGCTGAGCAGGGGCCTCCCGGGCTCTCAGCTGCCGATCCAGCTGTTTGCCGGTGACCTCCGGGCCCGACGGGCGCGCACAGCTGGCGGGCAGCTGGGGCGGGAGACGCTGGGGCTCTGGGGGAGCGCGGGCGGGCACCCCCCACCCACCCACTCACTCACGCAAACACCCGCGGGAGCGCCCCGGGGCTTGTCTGAGTCCGGACTCCCGGGCCCCTGGAACCAGGGGGTCGAGCCCGGAACTCGGCGCCAGGGGTACACAGGAAGACCCTTTCCGGCAAACTTTGCCCGCTTGCTGTGGCGCTCGGGCTTTCAACCCGTGCCTGGGGCGGCGTAAAGCTCAGTAGTGCATGGTTGTCTCCTTGGCGGGGCAGGCTGCCTCCAAACCGTCGCCCGCCTGCCAGGGGGCTTCGCGGAACTGGTGCGTTTTTGGGTCCCGGGTTGCAACCGAAAGCAAGGAGGACATAGGCGGAGGCGGAGAAAGCGGTGCGGTTCTCGAGTTTGTCCACTGGGATGCACTGCGCTCCCGCGCTGGGGAGAAAAGGGCCGCTAGGTGCCGGAGCGGCTGCCTGAGCCGTCCCCATCGCCGCCCCATCAGAGCTGGGGGCAGTGAGCCGAAAGGAGACTCAAGTGCGCGTCCTGATTTTGAGAAATCAGAAGAGGACAGAGCACGCCACGCGTTCTCTAGCTACCTTTGATTTATGAGACAATCCCCCATGCCCGGGGTAAAGGCTGTTTAAAATATCTAGTGAAAATTGTCAAATGTTATTATCCTCCTTTTTCTGGAAAGCGGCATTCTTTCTCCTGGTGGCTGGGTCTTATTTGCCAAGTGTGGGCTTTAAAAGGTTAATGGTGAAGCGGATCCTGTTGGGTTATTGGCGTGGCCTGAATCGATACAGTGTGCTTGGACTAGATAAGGTTTAGGCTCCCTGTTCTGGGACGCAGACAAAATGGAGCGAGGGCAGCCTTGCCTGGTGACCCCTCCAGGTGCCCTGCCATGGCGCCTGTCAAGGCTCAGCCAGCCCCGGAGGCCCTCTGGAAAGATCAGGAGGTCCCAGCCCTGGTTCTGGGTGCACCTTTGGCTCCCAGATGCTTCCTGAGCTACTGTCTGGCTACTTGGTTCCTGACTGACTGCTGGCAAGTTACCGGTTTTTCTTTTTTTTATTACTAAGTTGCTGGATCGAAAGATTAGTACATTTTGATAAGGGGAAGAGAAGAGTAAACGCTATGGAAAGAAACCTCTCTGTTGGTTCAAAATTCACTAAAACAGTTCCTCTAAAGCATCCCCAAGTGAGATCTCCTTGGGATTTTGCTGTAGGAAATAGTTCTGTTGGTGATTTTGAAGTCTGACCTTTTGCTTTTTTTTTTTTTCCTTAAGTGTTAGCACAAGAGATTTTCTGTGAGTGTGCCTCTAAGGACGAGCTGTCACCTATCTAGGAGGCTGACAGGAGAGAGATCTGTCATATCTGTGAGGGCCATCCCCTGGCCAGCACAGGTGTCTTGCTGGGAGGGTCTGTGTTGTTTTCCCATCACACCAGGCAAGGGTAACTGTAACTAAGCCGGGACTGCTTGCTCCAGACCTGGAAACGCACTTCTTCCTTGAAGAAAGCCTGTCAGCTTTGCTTACAAGCCACTCGGTGGCTCCCCAGGTGAGCCCTGCACATCCTGCTGCCCGACTTCCAACCTGGTTTATCAGACAGACACCGAACCTAGAGCCCGGGTCTGTGGAGGGCAGCTCTGAGCATCACCGGAGTGAGAAGCCCTCCGCTCAGGCTCCTGAGGCAAAATCTGGGCTTGGTTTTTTGCTTCTGCGTTTGACTGGAACCGTGCATGGAGCCCTTTTCTTCTCATGAGGCAGAGACAGACTGAGTCTTATTGAGCTGTTTTCATGCCTTTTTGGTGGTAGTTGTATCAAAGCTCCAACCACGGATAAAGGTATCTCTCGAAGGCAGCCCAGTAGCTTGACCAGCTGGTTTGGAGCTCAGACATAAATGAGCCCCGAGCCCAGCTTGGAGGGGTGCTTACTCAGCACGCAGCAGAGAGTGTGGCTGCCTCGTTGTTGTAAGTGGCCTTGGAGGCCGCAGCTTTGTCAGGGGCTGGGAGTGTGCAAGGCATTTGCTAGGCGTGCTCAGGCGTGCCGTGGCTGGCCAACGCCACGGCTTCTTCCCAGGCCGTGCTCCTGGGGTTCGCTCTGTCTGTTCTCCCACCCACCAGGGCCCTGGCTGTGTGTGTCTGCTCGGGGGTAGGTGTGTGACAAAGTGCTGGGACTCTCTTTCTTCGCGGGTGCTTCGCAGTCCCCCAAGCTTGGGCCATGCACGTGGTACCATGTTTGGGCCTTACCACATGGACCCAGGGGGTGGGCTGTCACCATCCCTGCCTCTAGAGTCCAGCAGCTGGGGCTGTGTGGAGGCTTTAAGAGGACAGACGGAGTCAGACGCTCTGTCCACAGACATCGCCCTCCTGGTGAAGCCTGGCTCGTGCCCATTTCCGACGGCTGCTACCAAATTGATTGCAGCCCGAATCCATCGAGGGTTAGCGACTGGGATGCTCATCAGGGACAGTGATGCTGGAGTAAATGCCGTTCTGAGAGGCAGCTCAAATCTTTCCACCACTGGGACGCGACCCCCTCCCCTCAGGCCACGCCCACCCAGGGAATCCACTGTCCAAGCGGAGGAGGGGCTGGTGGGCCCCTCCTAGTCGGTCCCTTCCGTTGATTTATTGTGATCACCTGCTTCTTTCTCTTCTGTGCATCCAAGAGAGTGGTAAGTAGGGAGCAGGGCAAGCCAGCTCGCAAGCGGAGACAGCTCCACACCTCCCCGAGATGTCTGTCTCCGGAGGGGGACAGCCTGCTTCCCCACTGCACCCTGCATCCTCTTAGCTGGGGCCGTGGTGGCAGCCCAGCCCAGCCTCGTCATCCCCCAGCCCACTGGCCTGGGTGCCATCAAGATGTCTGGCACAAGTGGGTCCGGCGTGCTTCCTGACGCTTTTATCTCCCCGGGCTTCATGTGGGAAAACTCCACTGCCCAGCCATGTGGATAAAAGCTGCCCCTTAGGTCATGATGAAGTGGGTAAACAGCAAACCCCAACCCACCCATGACTGCTGGGCCTTCCAGAGCCCAGGGTCTCCTCTCTGGGGTTACGTAAGAGTCATCTGCTTTCCATACGCGTGGTTGCCAAGTTTTCTTCAAAGGGCTACAAGTCAGTAGAGACCAAATTGATGAAAAGATTAGCTTGGAAAGCCAAATATATCCTTGATCTAGATTTTCATGTTTGAAGTCTGGCTCGAGAGGGTTTCTCCTGCCCGATGCCAGTCAGACATGAGGGGGAGGCAGGAGCCGGGGCTTGCTGGAGCTGGAGCAGACAAGCCGTGGGGCCCACTGACTCTCTTTCTCTAAGACCCCCTTCCAGGAATTCAAAGGAGTCGGTGAGTCATAAGGCCGCCGAGTGGGGAGTGGCACTTACGTAACTCAGATTAACTCTCAGTTAATAGAAAGTCAGAGGCTGCAGCGTGCCCATGTCAGAGCTTCGGGAGCCCTGGTGTGTGTGGGGGGGGCCTGGCTCCCCGAGTTCCTTATCCACATCAGGGTTGCAGCAGAGCTGGTTGCCTGGGGGAGGCCTGGCTTCTCCAGCCCCCTCCCCTGGGGCAGGACCCTGTACTCCAGCAATCAACGAGAAACAGTGGGATATTTCTTCAATGCCAGGTCCCCAGTGCCCCTTCCAGAAGAGGGTGCAGGATTCATTCCCTGCTGCTGCTGGGGGTGAGGGCAGCTGCCTCATTGTCTCCCAGCAGCCTCTGAACAGGCCGAGTTAATAATTGGGACGCCTGGCAGGTGCGGAGAAGTGGCTGGGTGAGCTGTACAAGGGCCCCGGGGACAGTGGGAAGCCAGAAACCCAACATTCCTCGGTGGGGGTCTTCATTGTTATGAGGATCTCTGACATGGCTGAAAGAGAGCCCAGAGCAGGGGCGGCATATGGGGAGTCGCGTGCTGGCAGAGGCCAGGGTCCTGCAGCTGGACCAAGGGGACCTGGTGATGGCGGGGGAGGGGCTGGGGCTCGTATTTGCTTTTCCATCCCCTGCATGCGCTCTACAGAAGGGTGTCACTTTATTTCCTCATCCCCTCCGCTCCCCCCAAGGAAAGGTTGGTGGCAGCCATGCTGGGCCCATCTGTGCGTCAGCCTTCCCAGCCTGCCCTTCACTGTGCTCGTTCTGTCCGCTCACTGGGACGCCTGCCATTTGTTGCACTTTCCCTTGTGTGGCCAGCCAGGGAGGGCTGAAATGGCAGGGCCCACTGCCGCTCTGCCCTCTCCCACCGTTTGCAACTGCCCATGGGGGCAGTTGCCTGGGCCGTGTTGCCTGCCCTCCCTGTGCATGACCTCAGGGGCTTCTGGAACGGGGCCGCATCAAGACCTTGTAGCTGGCAGTGGAGACCCAGGGGGTGTGTCCACCAGAAACCGGTGTTTAGGCTTCCTGTTTGACCCCGAAGAGGAGCCCTGGTCTCTGGACTGTGGGCTCATGAGGGCAGGGACTGAGTCTCATATTCTTCATCAGCTCTTGAGAAGAGTGTGTGGCG